TTGCTGCCCTGTTTCCCTAGTAACCAGGGCCCCGCGCATGCTCTGTGTTTGCGCTCTGGTGCGGATGGCTGGGGCTGGGTGTTTAGCAGTCCTGGGCTCCCTCTCCCTCCCTGCTCTGACTCCTCTCCTCCCGCCCGGAGCTGGGGGGAGGGGTGCTCGTGTCCTGCCGGGCCAGGGCTTGTATCTTATCCCCTTCGCGAGGTGCTGGATTCTCACAGGTATGGATGTGGTCTGGATGTTGTTCTGTGTCCTCTGGTTTCTATTTTAGGAAGAGTTGTCTTTGTTATAGTTTCATAGATATATGTGATTTGGGGAGGAGATTTCCGCTGCTCTACTCACACCGCCATCTTGGCTCTGCCGGGCGCCTTTCATTTTTTTTCTTGTCTGATTGCTGTAAGGAGAACTTTCAATACCATGTTGAATAGAAATGGCAAAAGTGGGCATCCTTGCCTTGTTTCTGATCTTAGGGGAAAAGCTTTCCATCTTTTACCATTAAATATGGTGTTAGCTTTGGGTTTGATACATTTTCCTGAACAGCAGAGTTAATCCAGCCCTCTTACTGTATCTAACTATGGTTTCTTGTCCTGGAGGAAGCTTCTCAACAGAGATTATGGGGTGTATATTTTTAGGGCTGAGAAGCAATTTCATTTGAGAAATACTTTTAAAGGTGATGTTTAGGCAATAAAATTGGCATATTTAATATTTTTGGCACTCTTAAAACCCACTGAATTTGAAACTTTAGGGGGAAAATTATATGTTTCTGTGTGTAGAACACATCCAGAAGTTCCAGAGGGCAGATGAGGCAGGGCAAGTTGCATGCACAGGGTGAGCCCAGGAGAGTGGGAGGTGACAGCAGGAGTCTGGGGGCCTGGGACAGCCTGATGTTCTGAGCGCAGAGAGGGTCCTCAGGGGCCAAGAGGAGCTACTCTGCAGCAATACAGAGGAGCCAGGGGGACACCAAACCCTCCCCTATGCCCTCAGAGACATGGGTGAAGGGGAGAGAAATAGTGTCCCCGCAAAGGCAGTCTGTAGTTAGGATAGAAGGCGGGAGTGTTTGGAGGCAGTGCTGGGAGGTGGGGAAGGCATGCTGGGAGGCTGCAGCAGGTGAGGGGTCATCAGACCTGCGGCGGGGTGTCTGTCATGGGGTCCTGGAATCCTGTAGCAGTTGGTTGTGATGTAGAAGTCAGAGTTCTCCAGTGAAATAAGAGATTTATTTTAAGGAATTGGTGCATAGACAGTGGGGCCTGGCAGGTGTGACATCCAGGGGGTATGCCATCAGCCTGGAAACTCAGTGCTGGAGTCTGCTGTGGTCCTGAGGTCAAACTCCTTCCTCTCCAGGAAACCTCAGGTTGTGCTCCTAAGGCTTGCTCTCCAGCATACTGGGTGAGGCCCTCCCTGATTATGGAGGGTAGTTAGTCTCCTTTACTGAAAGTCAAGTGATGGTAGATGGTAACCACTTCTTCAAAATACTTTCAGAACAACCCCTAGATTGGGGTTTGATCAAGTGGCTGGGTACCAGACCCGTACAGTCTGACACATGCACTTCCCTCCCACAGGCACAAGGTTGCCTTAGGGGCTGGAGAAGTTTGGAGGCCTGAAGGCTGGTGGCCTCGCCAGAGGCTGGAGGGAGGCTGCCGGCCAGGACCCTGTCCTGGTGTAGGACCAGCAGGCTGCCATGTGGAGCACCCCTGCCATCTCGTCAATGCTGCCATAGCTCATCACTGGTTCTTTCAGTCCAGCAGTCTGCTACAGTTGTTCCCTTTGTTTCTGTAGTGATGGTTTAAAGGATCCTAGGGAGATGCTTGCAGAAAACATGATTGATTGGCAGTAAATAACAGATTTCAGACCCTTCTGGACTTTTTAGCTAAAATGACAATTCAGTAGTGTTTTAGTGTTTTGGGTCTATATTGGTTCCCTAGGACCACCATAACAGAGTACCACACTGGACGGCTTAAACAACAGAAATTTATTTCTCACAGTCTGGTAACCAGAAGTCTGAGACCAGGGTGCTGTCAGGTTTGGTTCCTTCTAAGGCCTCTCCACTTGGCTGTAGGGGGCTGTCCCCTCCCTGTGTTCTCACATCCCTCCGACCCCCTCCGTGGGTCTGTGCCCCAGTCACCTCTCGTACTGGATCAGGACCCACACTGATGCCTTGTTTTAATCACCTATTTAAAGACCCCTCCAAATATGGCCACACTGTGAGGTGCTGGTTGTTAGGACTTCAACTTAGAGATTTTGCAGGTGACACAACTTGGCTATAACTGGACATTATCTTGAATTTTTTGCTCCTTGGTGGAATTAATATCCTTAATTTTATGCCCTCCCTGAATATTTCAGATTTCCTCTGGGAAGGTTCTGTGAGTCTTCTATTTCTGAATTTTAAAACAATGAGACTGACTAGATGGAGAATCTCGGCCCTGCAGCAGATGTCTGAAGTGTGAGGATCCGTGTCCCTTGACAGTTCCTGGTCTTTTCAGGCTGGAAGCGTGCTCCCTTCATGGCTGACCTTTCTCTCTGTGCCCTGCTCCGTCCTGCGTGTCACCACTTTACCACTTTACGTGGCTCATTCTCTCTGTGGGCTCTTTCAGTGTCTCTGGCTTTTCTCTCCCATGGATTTCATTTTCTGTTTTTGATTCTGATTTGACTGCTGCCAGCATCCAGCATATTTTGTCCTGGGCAGTTTCTTGCCTCTATTATTCTGTCCATTCTCTCAGGTTTTTATTCTTTCATTGGGAGAAATGAACCACTTTCTAAATTTTTCTAATTGTTCTCACAGTAAAACTACTTCAGAGAAATGAACCTGTCCGTGTCCCTGAGTGTCAGAATGGGAAGTATTTCTTAAGCTCCGTTTCCCTGTTATCATGGGGTTCTTGTTACAACTCAATTGCTGTTGCTCCTCTGAGGGGAGCCCGCGTTCCGGCACCACACACCTGCCTGGCCCTGGCCCTGTAGAGGGAGGTGTGGGCAAGGCGGGTTGTGCTGCCCGCGGTGGCTCCTGGATGGGGTGGCCTGGCCCCTGGAGTTCTCCCACCTTCATGGGCTGATGTGGGTGCCCACCAGAGCCCCCTTTGTGAACCTGCCCAGCTTGGGTCCAGATACCTAGAGCCCACTGAGTGGGTCTTGCAGAGTCAGGAGTGGCTCTCCACGGGCCCTTATCCTTTGGGGCTGGGGCACAGAAATTGTTTCTGCTGCCAGTGAGCGCAGTTTATCTGGGGGAGTGACAGCAAGGAGGAGCGTACACAATCGGTGTGGTGAATGGAAAGATGGATGTTAGCTCAGGGCATGGCCCCAGGGCCCAGAGCCATGATGACTGAGCCATCTGGGGGTGGTGGTGATGGGCAAGGGGCAGTCTGAGGGGACTTCCTGGAGGAGGTGACTCCAGGGCTCAGCCCTACAGCATTGTGATTTTGTGGTGGAGCTGGGAATGATGCCTGCAGGTAGGTACAGAGGCCTGAGAGAAAGCCTCTTGTGGCTGAGACTTGTGAATCACTCACGGTTGCTGGGCCAGAGAGGATCTGAGGGTCCAGGAATCCTCTGCGACTGATCATGATGGAAATGTCCGCTGCTGTTGCTGCTTTTCCTGAAAGCTTTTGCTCCCGATGGTTTCTGAGTGAGAAGAATGGATTTGAGGGCCTTTTGACATTAGGCCTGGTTCCTCTCTCTTCCTGGAATCTACCCAGTGCAGCACAAGTGTGACTCAGAATAGTCTTCCATCCTTGGGAAGGAAACTCATTTCTGCTGACATTTAGAAGAAAAGATGCATCTTAGAGAAGTTCACATCATAGGTGGTCTCCTGTATGTGAGCAGTATTTTGGGGTTCAGAGGCGGGTGGGGGGATGAGGCGATCCATGCTGAGTCCAGGCCAAGCTGCTGATTGTCCCATACCCCCATCCTCTTCATCAACAGGGAGGGGCCCTTTGTCAGAGTCAACACCAAAACGTTCATCAGCTACCTTGTACGCGTTGCACCTGTGGTTTGTGCGGCAGATAAAAACAAAGAAAAAGACAGGATCCCAGTTGCCTGCCTATTGGGAGCTCACTCTAGGAGCTGAGCGTACAAGTTAATGTATATGATTTTACTTGTAGCTTACATGAGAGTCGGGGAAGTCTTACTTGCATTTGGAAGGCTGTTACTGTGACTATTTTTCCAGAATATTGTAGTTAACAAAATGGGCCTGCAAGGAGAGCCCAGAAACTGTGTGGGGGACTGGATGCCTACTAACAGTATGTGTTCTTGGTGTGGTGGAAGAGCTAGTGTTTATGCATATGGCACTCAGAGGACCCCGAGGGTCACATGTGTCCCCTCAGTGCTTCTTTGGAATTAGGCTAAATCCATATTTCCCAGAGGATGATAAAGTACTCAGGGTTTTAAATGTCATGAGAAGAGTCTGGCAACTTCTGGGAACTGCTGAGAGAGGTGTGAGTTAAATTCCCTGGGTCAGTGTCACCTGACTCCACTCAGTGTTCCCCCACCTGCCCCAGACCCTGTGACCACACAAAAGCTTCTCATAGTTTTGCAGCTGGTGACAGTGTCCTCATGTGGGAAGGAAAGCTGGTCCACTTGGAGCAAACATCCCAGGCGCTGCTGTGAGCTGCGTCCAAAGGGCACCCATTTAGATGTGTCACTCGGGAACTAGCTGTACATAGTGGCTGCTTTCTCTGGCTTGGCTTCTGTGGTAAAATTGTAATATTTCCAGAATAGGTGTTCAGAGGTGGGAAGAAGTATGGCTTTAGTGCATTTGCATCATTCCTCAGGGGTGGAGAGAAGTTCATCTCCCTATCAATGGGTAATTACCTGGGCAAGGAGGGCTTATCTGTACCTGAGAGCTGAGAGGGAGGGCCGGTTTTGCTGCTGCTGGAACAGGGGAGAGAGATGGGCCAGACTGCAGTTTTGTAAGCAATAAACAGGTTTTAAACTTTATTTCTCCCTTTGACTGATTTCGTTGCCCCAGGATTTCCTCTCCCTAGACTTACAGCTTCTCACATCTGTCTCTATTCCAGGTGCTGCAGCGAAGTAAATGTAATTTGAAGAAAGCAAGAAGGAACCAATGGCTTTAGCTGGCTGCCCAGATTCCTTTTTGCACCATCCGTACTACCAGGTATGGGTGAGCATGGACGGCTGATTCTGGCAAATGGTGTTGGCTGAGGGCCACAGCACAAATGTAGGCAATAGCCATGACCATCCTTACTGCAGGTTCTTAGGATGTAACAGGTTATCCCTCAGTCCCATGCCATTTCAAGTACCTGTACCGTCTTGGCCTCCATCTGCCGGCAGCAGTCCCGGGTTCTGAAGTCTGTCTGTCTTGTCTACCCTTGACCCCATTTTTGTACCTCTCTGAACTTGTTCCCTTGCCTTCATCTGGGGAGTCTCTCTTTAGCTACAGTGATAAGAACTTGTCTAGAGCACCCCAGCTTCTCAACTCTTCCGGTGTCAGTGAAGCAAACCTTCTAAGAAAGGCTGAAGATACAGACTATCATACCATATAGGCATTGGATTTGAGACAAAGCTAAAATCAGTTACCAGCCAGAAAAGAGGACTAAACCCTCAGCAGAACTGCAAGGTTTGCTGGTGACCTGCGGGTCTGGTGGGTGGGTGGGCTGTGCCCCAGGCATCACCCTCTGCCTCCCGCATGGTTGTATCCTTGTCCTTGAAGAGGCCCCATCCTGTTGATGACAGCTCTGTGCTGCATCCACCGGCCACAGGTCCAGTTTTCTGGTTGCTTAGCTTTGGCCTGTTGTCTGGGCCAGCTGCACCCTCACCCCAGCCTGCTGCCGTGTACTTCCCACCATGACTCTCAGGGGAATGGGAGCAGTGCCCTACAAAGAAAACCTTCCCCGGAGCAGTCTGTCTAAATGCTAGTTGAGTAGAGTAGTGTCATCTTCGGCTGGTGACACAGCAGACCTCAAGGGCCAGACATGCCACTGGGAAGGCTGATGACACACTGGCCCTTAGCCTTCTCTGGCTCCCGTGGGCATCTTTGATGTCCTGCTGGTCCGTGGAGATGACAGAGGCATCCACGGAGCCTAATGCTTCCCTGGGTAGGTGTATTGACTGTTGCTCTTTGCTGCCCCCCTTGCCCAAGGCTGCCCCTCAGGAGCCAGGAAGTGGTGGATGAATGGTGGGCACCCCCAGCGTGCTCTGTCATCCTTTGAGGAAATGCTCAGTCATGCTGTCTAGTGGCTTTTGAAGGCAGTCTAAAAAGCCTTGCAAAAATCCAGCAGCTGGACTTGGCAGCATTTATTCTCTATTCCTGGAAAATTAGATGACAGTTCCAGAATTTCTCAGAAAATGGGATGATTTACAGTGAGTTCCAGTCTTGAGCAATCTGCAATTACAGCAATTAGATAAATCTCCAAGTGTTTAGAGAGAAGAATTTCTTCTTAAGTACTTCAATATACAAATAAGCTTCTAATTCTAGCTCTCACCAAGAACCGTGGCTTGCATTAGATATGGGGTTCAGTCAGTGAGTTGCTGAGATGCTTAATTTTTTATATACACAGAAGCACCCAAATTAATGTGTGCTTAATTACCCTGCTTCCTGCTTTAGTGACAGAGCAGCAGATGGGTGGGGGTGTGAGGGAGCTGGTGGAATCAGAGATAACCACTTTACTTTCAGAACTTAGGGTGTCCCTTTAAGATGTGATATTATCATAGTTCGGTGGCCTTGGGGGAGTCTCATGGCTTCCTTGGCCTCAGTTTCCCTGTTGGTAAAAAATGGTTAACGGTGTCTGAGTTGTGTGAGGATTGGAAGAAGTATGTGGAAATTGCCTAGCCTGGGGCCAGCCACATTTCAGGTGCCCAGTTCAGAACTGTCACTTTTAATTCCTTGGTTACCAATTGTGCCAGACATAGGTGCCAGATACCAGTTGTGCCGGGAAGTCACAACGCAGATAAAGTCCCAGGGCTCATGAATCCTAGTGGGAAATGAAAACCAGTGATAAGATCATTGTGAATAATGAGGATAATTTTGAAGCAAATCAAATAGGACAGCTGGAAAGAGGAGTCAGAGAGGCCCCCCAGAGAAGTACCCAGAGTAGGGGGTGAGGGTGGGGAGTGGCACCAGGCAGGACTGGGGCGGTGATCATGCAGAGGGTGGAGCAGACAGGGTTTAGACTTCGGTCCAGTAGGAATGGGAGGCATTTGGAGAGGGCAGGGTTATAAATAGAGGCCTACAGTCCACTGTCTGCAATTTAAAAGATCTGAAAGCTCTAAACCGAGCAGCGTTTTTGTTTCTCGTGGCAAGGCAGTTCTGCCTCGGCCTGTACCAAACTGTGCCTGTCAGATACGGGACGACTGGCCTGCAGGGCCTTCCTGGGTCCTGTCTTGTCTTTCTCAAATCCAAAAATGCTCAATTCCCATCAACATCCAGCCTCCTGGGTTTTGAGAAGGGATTATGCATCTACTACGAAGTGCATTTTATTTATTTATTATAAAGGAAAGCAGCGTTTATTATCCTTCAGAAGAATGCCTAAAATAGAATGTAACATGTACAGACATCTGAGCCATGTGTTGAGCTGGCTTATAGAAATGAAATGCCTGAATGTTAAGCTGGCTGTAGGTTATAAGATTACTGTTGATTTTCCAAATATTTATTCTAAATATTTAGTTTTACTTTTATATTTTTTACTCCTGATTTCTGAGTTGAAAACATGCACACTTTGTAGTAAAAGTTTGAGATGCTGCCTCATGCAGAGATTGGATCACCAGCGTGGCTGCACCCACCCTTCATTTGAGGAGTAATTTAATCATTTCATAAAAACCTGCAGCCTCAGGTTACCCCAAGTTGCTCCCTTTGTCTCCATTTCAGTTCTGTGTCCCTGAGCCTCCGGGCCAGGAACCTCTAGACTTTGACAACTACAGCCCATGAGCCAAGTCAGGCCCCTGCCTGCTTTTGTAAATGAAGTTTTACTGGCACCCAGCCACACTCACTCGATCCCACCTTGTCTGTGGCTGCTTTCAGATGACAGCAGCAGAGTAGAGCAGTGTGTGGCCCTTTTCAGAAAAAGTTTTCCAGTTCCTGTTTTAGGACACCAGTTGCTTCAGTGAGTCTTCTGGGTGAACAGAGGTCAGAGTGCCCTTGTGCATCAGCTTGTTTGCTCATTGCTGGGGTAAGGGGACAAGACCCCCAGCTCTCGGATGGGAGTTCCTCTCTGCCCATCACACACAGCTGTGCGTGTCTGGATTCCTCCTCCTCTTGGCAATGTCTGGAGGTCCCCAAGGATGACACCACACCATCCCTTCTAGGCTTGATGTGGGATCAGTCCTGGAAAGGAGTTCCATTCCCAAAGTTTAACACCATTATTTATTATTTTAGCCAGAGAGTGATTCTGTAGCTTTTCTGTTTTTAATCTTACACTTGTTCTTTGAAAAAGGGTCATCTTCACTGGACCACATTTTTTACAAGAGATTTGTGGACAGTAACTTCCTTTCATCATGGCTCTTTTACTTGAGCTGGGAAACTGCAAAAGATCATCTGAAACATCCCGTATTTTTATATTATGACACCATTCCAGCAGATAGGACTTTTCCCTAAGCAGGTTTTACAGATTATTTAAGATTATGATTCTGAATTTAGTAACAATCACTGTTTTATAGAGGTGTTTTGTGAGGTAAAGCAGACAACTTAGAAATGTCCTGGTAATATACTATTCAGCTGCCTTACTGTACTCACTCTGTTTAAATTCTCTGTATATTTCTTTGATATATGATGTCATTATAATGATTAGAGGTCATTATATGGCCCATGGTATTGTGCTTTGCATAGAGACGACTCATTAAATGGGGGCTATTATCTTGATATTAACATGAGCAGCTCTCTAATTTTTTAAAGTGTAGAACTTTAAGTAGAATTTTTAAGTGATTTTTGTGATCCCTGTGTAAATTTGAGATTACAGCCTTTTCAAGCTTTGAAATCACTGCAGAATATCCACAAAAAAATAGATGTCATTGGTTGGGAAAACATTTTCTCAGTGATTTGGCAAATTGCCGTTAACTGGTTTTATTTATTGGAATCTTAGGAGCAGATGCCATGTTGGTAAATATCATGTGCATTTGTACCTTCTGTAACTTAGGGAATCAAGGAGAACCCTTTTCTTTAAATGTTGGGAGTTACAGTGGCTGCTTTGCTCATTCACTTAACTGTGTTGGGAATGACGGGCAGACCATGGCTGGATATCAGGAAACCACACACCAGCCCCGCCTTCATGGACTCCCAGCTCTAGTGTGACAGACAGACAGCATCAGCAGTGTGCTTTGTGGGGCCCAGTGGAGACCCTCCTGCGTCATTTCCTGGCAAAACTGTCAAACGTGGATATTCTACAACCTGAGCTCATGACTCAGTGGGGGCGTTGAGTGGGGAAAAGATTCAGTGCTTCTGTCTTGGGTTCCCTCATTTAACCCTCCAGCAGTCCTGTGACAACATGAGGTGGGACCTTCCTGATACCCACTTTGCAGACGAGGAAACCGAGCCACTGCCATGTACGGTCATCACGCCAAGGCCTGGATTTGGTTTTCTCCTCCCACCAGCCCTGGGGGTTGGGGCTGTCATGGTCTCCCTCAGGCAGAGAGGCTGTGTCCCCCTCTGAGTAGAAGAGGCATGTTTCTTGTAACGTTTGTGTCTGTGAGGGGAGGTGTTAATGTTGGTGAGACTGAGGGGGAAGTTATGGTCAGGATGATGTGGATTTAATGCCCAGAGCTGCTGTGATGAAGCATTCAGTTTGTGTCCTGTGATTTGACCCTTACTGAATTTCTTTGATCCTAAGATGCCATGAGATAAAGGGTCAACTTTTAGGTCAAATTAAAGAGCAAGGTAATCATGTGCATTCCTTACACATTAGTTGGTTGGAAGATGTTTGTATTTCAGAAATGTTAAAACAACAGGAGTCTGTAAAATCAATGAAATATTACAAATAAGTAAATACAAATAAAAAATTTAAAGTATGTTTTTAATTACTTTTGTTAGAGACAGACTTGTTCTAGTTTGAATGCTTTTACTTTTACTGCCCAAATCTCTTCTTCGGGAATAACCATATTCTTTTGGATGCTTTGTATGCATTGTTTTTATTCTGTGTTTGATAACTGTGTCAAGCACTGTTCGCA